GTTATTATTACAATATATAACGTATTGAAGAATTGTTATTCTAATCATAATTAATCATATATTATTAAGACTTTCAGTTTTCAAAAGAAATTTATTATAAATTATTATAGTAATAAGAAATTCATTAAATAATGGAATTTCCTGTGAGAAAGTTGTGGCTTAAGCCATTAAAGTTCTAACAAATACTTTTCAATTATTTTTAATTAAGCTTAACGATTTTCTAGTCTAGTACAAAGATGTTAAAAATAATAAATTTCAAATAATGAAGTTTATAAATAATGAAGCCAAGAAAAAATATGAGTTATTTATGAATCTTTTTGGTATCTTTTATATTATTTTTGAACTTGCCAATTTTAATATAATTATAATTTTATATAATTTTAATATAATTAAATAATTTTCATATTCAGTGATTTGAAAAAAAAAGCTTTAAATTTGAACAATATTTGATAAATTCTCAACAATTAAATCCATTTTTATTATATGCGCATTTATAATAATTTTACAAAATAAATTAATTACAGAAAGCATTGTTGCATTCGTTCGCATGACATTCATATTTTTTGTCATATTTTTCACAGTAGTATAGCGAGATTGTTCTCACGGTACATCGACGACGTGCAACTCGATTTCCCAGAGAATACGATCAACTCCACGCTTTAACATCGCGCTCTATTCAGGGACAAGAGAAGGCGTCGATAAAATTACAGTAGATACGTGAGAATATTTAATTTTGAAAGCTAACGAAGCAAATAAATGGGAGGGAGCTATTATATAATCAATTATTTAGCTGAAATAAAGTAATATGAAGAAATCTCTATATATTAAAATAATATGATAAAAATCTAAAAGATACACATGCGCACGTGTGTATGTGTATTTAGATTAACTGTCGGTTAACCTTCCTGACGAGTGGCAATATTATTATACGAATGATGTTTTGTGAAAAATTATACTCTCTTCTTCATGTAAAGTTGAAATTTATACAACTGTATCACAATTAAATTTTTCAGCGTAACTTTTTCTGCATAGATATTTACATAGATTTTTGCATAAATTTTTATAAATTGATAGAGAAACTACTAAAATTTTTTTAGTGATTCTTAACAAAAAAATTAGAGATCATCACTTGTTACGGTTGTCCAGAATCTATAGTACTAGTATGTATTTTTATATATAACTAATATAAATTTTAAATTATATTTTTTTAAAGTAAATTACATATTTCAAAAATTAAATAAAATAAAATAATTCTATAATTTATTTTGCTGTTTAAAAATGCGTATATATGTATGTAAAATATAGTCTTTGATCAATTTAAATTTAATTTTTTTAAAATCTGTTTCAAATACATTCTGAAAAATCTGTCGTTAAAAGTTATGTATATATATGTATATAATGCATAAGAAATGAAATACATACTTCTTTAATACTCCGTTTAAGAAACGTATGATAAAAATATTACAGTAAACTACTATAGTAAAAAGTTAAACATTACACTTATATAATAAATATATAATTTTTAAAATTATATAATAATTACATAATACATATTACATAATACATATTACATATATCAATATCCTTTATTTTTTCATTTAAATGATACTTTAATGTAATCATGCATACAGTTGGCGAGCCACAATTATAAACATGATAAAATCAGCATCACAGAAGGATTTTCCAGAATTCTATATAAAATATATGGTATATAAATTCTATATAATAATGTCATCATCCTTACCTCGTTCCATACGAACCCCATAAACGGATCGATTTTGAGAATTCATATAAGGAGTATGAGAAAAAAAGAAGCGAAATATATGTATATCATTAAATCATATATACATATATCTGTAACGATACGAATCTTATAACTTTAATCATATATCACACTCGAGCATTCACGGGAAAGCACATAACACGTCAGACAGAGCCGGTACGTACACGGTCGACGTCTAGACCAGACTGAAGCGCGAGCACTTTCAACGAATGTGAAGCCTTCCACACTACTTGCCTGTGGAATCGTGAACGGATCCGTTCCTTTCATTCCATTCGGAAAGTTACGGACGAATCTATAATCTGCTGAGCTGATAGAAATTTACAATCAGATTTGAGACACAAATTTAAGAATAGGATTGTGCTTTTCCTTCTATTCCTATACGCGACACAATGTGGTCCGTATTTGAGTTAATATATTATCATCTTTATATTAAAATCATAAATGTGAAAAAGAGCAAATTAATTATTGAACTATTATTATTGAAAAATTTTTTTATATTATAAAAGCAATATTTAAATAGATTCTTCACAAAAATTATCAATAATAATTTTTTATGTTTTTTTTTTTAAAAAGATTTATGTATATATAGAGTATACTTAGTATGTGATCGAAATTAATGTCGAGAAATTGGACAACTTTGCGAAAAACTGAAATAGTTTTCGTGTTTCTTCTTTTTAGATCAGAGTTTATGAAAAAGTTCTCCGTTGGCAGAGAACGAGATATTTTCACGCTTTTACTGTAGACTCTGCATTACCGTTAGCTCGATTAAGCGGCGATAAAATGAGAAAGGGTGGCAATTATATTATGCGGCACGTAACTACATACAACCTTTTAGCTGCGACCGCTCGTTCGCTCGCATGGCCTTTAAGTTCCTTTGAGATGACGAAGACGTGCAATGCGCAATGCGCGCCCGCGCGGCATGTCTTACGGTGTAGCTCGATACATTAACCCGGTGATATCGCGTTATCCGAACACCTTCGACTAAAAGCAAATCGTCAAGATACGCGCTCGTCGAAAGTGTCTGCCCATTGGTTTCGACGATTCGTAATTGCTTCTTTGAATCGTTACACGTTTTGATGAAAGTACTGTTTAAAAAACCACCAATCGAATTGTCAGCGCATTTTTTGAAGCATGTCCGACCATTCAAAATATCTTGAATATAACTTATCGATCTAAATCGGGTTTTGATTTTTTGGACTAAAAAAATTAATTTTTGTAGTGCATTTTTCTGGAGAGTTTAAAGCTTTAAAAATAAAATTTAAACATTTTAGTCAAATTAAAAAAATTTAGAAAGCTATATCACTTTAGAAAGTAGCGTTTAGATAAAAATAAGTGTACATACGCCCGCACCTATTCCTGAGTCTTTATTTTTCTTCAAACAGTCGATATTTGGATTGTATGTATACATTATTATTTTCTCTTTCGTTCTCTCTCTCCCTCTCTCTCTCTCTCTCTCTCTCTCTCTCTCTTTCACTATTTATATGTAGCCTTTGAAATTCAAATATTTCTAAATAACTACTATCAAAAGCATTATATTAATTAATATTTTCTCGTCCTGTGCAAAATGGATGTAATATATCAATCTTAAGATATAAAGAGAAAACATTAAATAAAAAGTAGAAATTTATTGCAAATTTATCATTGTATGAATGATTCAATTATGACTTATATGAATTAGGTTACTACTTTTTTTAGTAATTTTTTTAGTAATTAGGCATTTCAGTTTTCAATAAACACATACTTATTTAAAAAAAAAGTGATTAGAAAATTATATTTATGTTTGTGTGTGTCTAAAATAACTACGAAAATTTTAACGCATTAATTTAGACACTTATGTTTTTAAATGTTTATATTACAAATCAGCAACGATTAAAATAGTTAAAAACTTAGCTACTTATATTTTCAATGAGATATATTAATATATTAAAGTAATGTCTATATAAGAATCATTATTGGTTTCCAAAAAAAAGCATTTATTAATACGAAAAATATCAAGCGTAAGAACTATATGGTAAGAATTATAAGAGAGAACATAATATCTTGCAAAGTTGAAGCAGTTGATGAGAAAGAAATTTTTAATAAAGAATACTCTTTACACATTGTTATTAAATAACAAATTATCTGGTAAAAGCTATAAATTCAATCTCTCTCTCTCTCTCTCTTTCTCTCTCTCTCTCTCTCTCTCTCTCTCTCTCTCCTTGCTACAATCTTATATACGAAACTTTACACATATTACACATAATATTAAACACTTTTTTCGAAAATATATTTACCAATTTCAGGTTATATCGTTTTTCAAAAACAAAGTGGTTTATTAACCTTTTATATATCAATAAGTACCATATTTATTTTTACATATAATAAAGACACAACAAATGCTTCTATTAATTTTGTAACTTGCTGAAATACCATGATAAATCAAACATTCTTGATTTAAAAAAATTAATAATCAAGAAATCGTCCATTAAGATTGTATAGAAAAATTTTGATTAAAAAAATATGTTCTTAAAAAAAATTATTACTTTCAGTGTAAAGATTAATGTAATGTATTAAATTTGAGATAAAGATAAGTGTAAATCATTGATTTTAATTTTAAACAAGTTCAACGTTGAAATGACTTCTAAGAAAATATACTGTGTAAACTTACACCGGAAGTCGCACGATATGATAATCCCATGCACCGGTACGGTCCCCAGGATGAACCGTTGAATTGTTCGCACGACGGCTTACTATCATCGCCGGTATTTGAGAGCAAAGAAAATAAGGAAGAATTAAGAGCAAAACATATGGGAAAAACGGCGAAGCAAAGAGATAAGCATTGATATTATTTTTTTATTTCATTCAACGTGCGTAATTCAATGACGAGCGCGCGCGCACACACAGAGGGAAATAAATCGATAGATAGATAGATAGATAGATAGATAGATAGAGAATGAGAGAGAGAGAGAGGGGGGGGAGGGAGAAAGTTAAAACAATTCTTAATGTTGTAACTGAATAATGAAACAACTTAATTATTAAAACATTCAAAACAACATTATTAATATTCTGAGTGAAAAAGTATTATAATATATATATATATATATATATATATATATATATATATATTTCAAGCCAAAAATATTAAGAATATCTTTAGAACATCATTAAAAATTTTATATCTTACATATATATAACATTTTTTGCGGAAATAGAGATGTTAATAAATATAATTACTCACCGTATTGTACTCCATCGGTGTCAACTTTTCACGTTTTAAGAGTTTTGACAACTTTTCAATCTCCCGATTCTTGCTTCGTAGTTCACCCATCTGCAAAAATTCACAAAACTCGTTTGAATGCGGCAGATTTCTTGCGCGACTACGTGTGGCGAAAGTTGCAATGAGAAAAATTAACATTGCCGGCAATCATAAGGAAGAATGGGATACACAGCAATGATGAAGAGAGGAGGGGCAACGATTGGTCCCTTTCGTACCGCTTTCGAGCTCTCACCTCGTCTCATCGTGTAAGCCAGGCTTGTTAGGCCTCAGGGGCCTTTTGCTTTTATCTTGTCTGTATAAGTAAAATGAGAAAAACGCCACATTACGAGTCATGCGCTTCCATCTTTTGAATGTTCATACGTATACGATGAACGGTATACGAGCATGCATTTTGCGTTTCGATCACAGAAATCGCGCGATTTCACGAAGCTCGTGATAGCTGTTTTTACAGGTGAATGAAAAAAGTATTTCTTAAAACGGCTCTTCATTATTGTTTACTAATAACATTATTGTTTACTTGTAACTAATAATTATCACTATATTTTACTCAAAACACATTAATTAATTAATTACATTAATACAATTAATTTTAAAATTTGCGAGTTTTAATTTTTAAGAAACTGCATGTCACAATTAATTACAAGACAGTTTTTAAAAGGTGCGTTTTAAAAAATAAAACTTCGACTTTTTTTTAAGTGCCTCAAAGGGTACATTTTACTTCCCATCGAATTGTCTTTTTCCAAGACTAAAATCAGATTGTGCAAAAATCTTAAAAATTTCACAACTTTATAGCCTTCTATGGAAAAAACAGAGATAGGTAAAAAGATGTCATTACATAAATTTTAAGTCGGAAAATTTCTTCGCTTTTCTATTATGTCTAGAAGCTGATCTATCGAGTTTCAAAGTATGTGCATTTTGCAAAGCTTTGGTCAAGTATCAGCAACATTCGCATTTTCGGTTTTGCAAAAGAGCAATAAATAGAATTTAATAGAATGGGAAGCATCATCCTTATCATCTTATAAAATCGAGGTCAGTGTTTGTAAACTCCCTTGTTAGAATTTGTACCAACGTTAGTAACGTCATCTAGACGTTAAAATATGATAAATCAAATACGTTTGAAGACACGTATTGCAATATTAAACAGTTAAGGAACACTACAATTGACAACAATATATTGCAACACGTGTCTTTAAGCGTATTTGATCTATTGTATTTTGATCCACCATATTGATTTTTTCGGAAGATCATATTATCTGAAGACAGACTTCTAACAAAAGAGACCGTATAATTACCGAAAACATATTATTAGCATTAATAATTAGCATAAATACATTAAATAAATTATTTAATATTGTATTTTTTCCTGTTTAATTTTAATCTTATATTAACAAAAAAATACATTTTAGTAAAACTTACAGTATAAAATTTGCCTTTAATCGATCTCTTTGTAGGTACCTTTTACCTATTTTCTTAATAAAAATGGATTTAATATTTTGGATTTAATTTTTATTTACTTACGTTAACAATAATTATATTTGTTAAAAATTTTATTGAAATTTGTTAAAATTATATAACATTATAATTTTCATATTTTAAAAACCAAAAATTTAAATTTTGATCAAAGTAATATGGATACTGTCAGTAATATAATCTTTTACCTTATATACTTTTATAATAATGTTTAAACTAATGATATTTAAATTTATTCTCATTAAGATCTCATTCAACAAATTAAATTCATGAAAATTCTATTTTATTTTTTTCGGTTGCTCCATATACTAAATCAGCTCAATCTTTTTTCGTTACAGCATTTCTTCGGCATTTGGCTCGTTGCTAAAGAATAAGATGACTATGAGTTTACGTCGGTAATGTGGCAGATAATTTCGTCGAACACTTACTATACGATTTCAATCGTAAATGTAGTAATGTTAAGAAGCGCAAAGTCTTTCTTATACCTCTTGAGACTCTACATACCGACTTTACACACAATCAATGCGAACAAGCATTTTGAATTAAATATAGAATCTGATGCGAGTAAACATAAAAGCAATAAAAATAATTTAAAATAAATTATTAGGAAGTAAATACTATTTCTGCATCGAATTGATAATAATTGATAATATAACTAATTTACGAGCAAAAGTAAATACACGAAAAAATACAAGATAAAATTATACGAAATGATCTTGAAAATATCGAAAAAGAAGAAATCTTTATAATATATGATGAGATAGTAAACATAAATAATATTAGATATTTTGTCCCTTTTCTTCTATTTTTTTGATTATTTATGATTATTTAAATACTCTACATAATAATTATATATATTGTAATACATATATTTAATTACCATTAATATACGTAATTATATTTAATTAATTTTACTCCACGTAAACTTATATTATATTTATATGAGAAATTTGCAATATTCTTTATATGTATATTATACATTATATCTCTTTTGTTCACTTGGAATATAATTAAGTCAACAAGTTGAAATAGATTAAAGACAAGAGTTAACTTAAATAGATTTAGAGTTTACTTTTGTGTGTGTGTGTGTGTGTGTGTGTGTGTGTGTGTGTGTATTTATCTACTCTACTTAAGATATAGTACAAAATGTGATATAATAAAAAAAGATAAAGTAAAAAATGTATATAAAATTGATAGTTAATGATAATCGCTTCGCGATATCGAAAAGATTGAATTAGAAATTAATTATTTAAACTAATATATTTTGAGAAAAATATATTTTGAGAAAAGAGAGATAATTTCCTATATCCATATAGAGAGCTTTGCTATTTCCAAACTGAATGAATCACACAAAATTCCAGAGCACACGAATAGCGTGAGAAAATCATGATCATTTTGGGTAATTTCACGGCAAAGATATTCATCTTTTTCATCGATGTTGTACGCTAAATACATTCACTGTGTTAGTAAAACTTTTGTCCATTATGAGACTAGATCAGATTGCATTCTAAACAGGCTCTTTTCTAGTTGTGTAGACTAATATCGGAGGATATAATTTTTTTATAAGCATCTTGGAACAGTCTCGCGCTGATGCTCGTGTTTCAGAAGGATATTTTTACATGCCTAAGAGATAGGTTATTCCCAGAGCGAAATTACTACTTTTGCTTGAGGCAACATTATGATCACATAATTATGAGGAACTATTAAATTGTTTAACGATGTTATTTCTGATATTTAAACATTATGTACTTACCATTTTTATAGTTTCGTTGCGATGCAATTTTCGTAGTGCGGAAAGCTCTGTTTCATGATTCTCTCGTTGAACTCGTGTTTCAACAATACGAATCTTTTCGGCATTTAGAGCAATCTAAATATAAAAATAACTTTGAAAAAAAACAAGATGCGATCTAATATATTGTGAACGTAGTAAATTACTAACAAATCTTAAAAAAGTGATACTTAAAGAGAATTTATTTGATATTATAAGAATTTTTTTAGCGAAAAGAAATCTTTATTCAATTAAATTTTTTTAATAAAGAAGAGTAAACCCCTCACATTTATCAATAAATTGGAAAATTGCAGATATTCCTATATCTTCTATAATAAAATATATTATTTTTAAATTTAAGAATTTAATGGAGAATTTTCTTACACGCAATTTTTCTTCGAGTTTTTCGTTTTCGGCGTGAAGATTTCGTATTTTTACTTCTAGACGGCGTACATCGTTGTAGGAAGAAGTATCATTGGCTTTGCGAGAGGTGTTCGTTCGTGATTTCATAAATTGCCACTCGAATCTTTGTATCGTACTTCCAGCTTCAGATAAGTTTTTTCTTAGAATCGATAATTCACGCACATGATTCTCGTCTTTCACGGAATCCGATTTAAACGGCAACGGCAACAGCGATGAAAATGGCGGCGCGAAATGAGCGATTCTGAATAAAAAATATTGCTTTCAGCACACACATTTTTATTCTAAATAGTCTTCAAAATTCTAAGTTACAAATTGATTATTTCATTATTTTGATACAAATTTCCAATTCTTTAATTTTTTAGAGTTTTAAACTCTCGAAAATAAGTAATAATAAGATAAATAAGAAATTAAAAATTTAAGATATAGAAATATTTATCTTCATTGTAGATAAAGTATTTTGTTCAAAATGTACTTACCTAGTCTTCAGTTCGGTTACGATAAATTGATACTTGGCAGCCTCAGCGATTCTAGCTTCCCTGAGGGCTGCTTCGAATTCCCTCTTGGCAATTTTCGCTGCTTTTCGTTGCTCATGTAGCTCTGTTCGTACATTCGCCAAATCTTCGCGTAGATTTCGCGCTCCCTCCTCTAACCATTGTATTGTTTTTCTCAATCTAGGAACATCACTTCTTTTCACGTCTATTTCGCAAGACCGTGATGTTTTTGTGTCCTGTGAGTTCACTGACACAGTCTGATTACATTTTTTTCTCAAACATGGCAATGATGAGATTTTTCTATCTTCTATGCCTTCAATATTTTTTTCTTTCAGTATCGCGCTGCGACAGATAAAATATAAATTAAATTATGTATTAGAATGTGTATATTATAATTGAGTGTGTGTGTTATGTGTTATAATTCAAGATAATATTTCTGATGGTGGAGTTAAGATATTACATTCTTTTTACACCTTTTTAAATTACAAAATCAATTGAATGGGCATTATTAAAAAAATATTGTACTGATCGTTAAACTATTATTTTGCTTATATTAATATTATGTTTTTGATATTTAAAATAGAATACATTGCATAAAAATATTTCAAATGTGTAAAAGATTATGGAGGTATATTAACAAATTCTAAAATATGAAAATATTCAAATGACAATGCAATGAAAATTTTTTTAACTATATCTTTGAGTTTTTTGCTAATGAATATGTACTTCTTTTATAATACATACAACTGTTAAATTTTGATAAATATTCTTACAAATTGCAATTGCATGATTCGTCGCGTCGTTGCGTTTTCTTGGGGATTTCCGAGTTCGTTGTCAGAGATTCTAATCGTCTTCGTTTTCTTACACCTTTCATGGATATAAGAAGATTAATTTCAGTCGTTGTTAATTTGTTCGTGTTTGTTGGCTTGACAGTATGTTCCTTTGAGGAGCTTGCCATCGTCACTGGAATCGTATTTATAAACTTATTAAAGTATTTATTATATACATGTATATATATATATATATATATATATATATATATATATATATAATAGGATAGATCAACAAAAATTTCTTATTTTGTAATTGATTAATTTATATGAAAAAAATGAAATGCACTAATAAAGAAAATAGGGAACACTTTTTGAACCCTAAAAATTGGGCTATTTTCCAAACCGCTAAAACTTGTCGAAAAATCATCGTAGACAAAAAATTAAAGAAGCATTTTAAGCTTGAAGTTTCAACTTTAACATGAAGTTGGTGATTTTCAAAAATTTTTTCATCTTCCTTATTTTACGCTTCAAAAAAGAATACACTGTTCAGTTCTTTAAAATTATGTACTTTTAACACGCTGCAACATGATAAAAAAATTTTTCTCGAGAAATTTAATTCAAATTCCATAAACTACAACATTTTGCCTATAAAACGCTGTTTTTTAAATTTTCCTACGATTTTTTTTGACTGAATAATACGATTTAAAAAATAAACCAGTACTTTTTAGATATGATGTCAATATTCAGCGAAAAATCATCGTAGACAAAAAATAAAAAAAGTATTTTGAAATTTCAAAAAAAAGTATTTTGAAATACTATGTCATATCTAAAAAGTACTGGTTTATTTTTAAAATCGTATTATTCAGTCAAAAAAAATCATAGGAAAATTTAAAAAACAGCGTTTTATAGGCAAAATGTTGTAGTTTATGGAATTTGAATTAAATTTCTCGAGAAAAATTTTTTTATCATGTTGCAGCGTATTAAAAGTACATAATTTTAAAGAACTGAATAGTGTATTCTTTTTTAAAGCTTTTTTTATTTTTTGTCTCTAACGCGTTATCGTTAATTTCTTTAATCTTTTTACCTTCTTTGTTCTGTGCTTTAAAAAAGAACATCGTTTTTTGTTCCTTAAAATTACGTAATGAAGAATGTTGGTTTCGAAGTCATGTAGCTCGGTCAAAAAAAATCGTACGAAAATTAAAAAAAAAGTGTTTTGTAGGCAAAACGTTATAGTTTATGGAATTTGAGTTGAAAAATTTTCGAGAAAAATTTTTTTATTGAACTGTAAAGTGTCAAAGATACGTAATTGAAGAATGAGGAATACACAATGAAAAAAAAATTTACCGTTTTTGTAAGAACGTAAGAATATCTTAATCGACCTGTTGGACTCACGAGATATATTATTGAATCCAATATGGACAGAGTGAAGGAGACCCTCCTCAGAAGGAACACTGTCGCCAACTAAAAGAGACCGAGAGCCCAAGCTACACCACAGCTTGTAATTGCTATATATGTCAACTACGTCATCTCTTTGGCTCTATTTAACTCTCATCTCTTCCCTCTCTTCACTGTTCATCTACGCTAAGTTTGAGTGCTTATTCGCGTCCGCTTTTATTTGCATAGACTTAGTCGTAGTCATTATCAACGTATCTCGATCACAAGAAAAATTTATAACATTTTAACATAAGTTAATTCTCTCGCTAATGTATAGATACACGAACGGAAATAATCTATTATGTAGTACTCTATATGTCATAACGAATATAGCATTCGTAGCATAAATAGTATACGCATTGAAATTCTCGGGTAAAAATTAAGCAAATTTACTATTTTCAATCAAACCTCTCAGTGAACATCGTTGAATAAAAGAAAGAAATTAAAACTAAAGAGAAACAAAATACGAGGATATGTTAGAGATGTTAAGATAAAATTTTTTTTAAGATTAACATTTTTTTCTTTAAGCATTGATAAAACCATTTTATATTGATAATAGCCAAGGAATATAAAATAATATATATATAGGCCAAATAAAATACTCTAAAACATATTCACGCATATACGAGATAGATAAAAAAAGTCTACAACTTTATGTGCCTGCAATTTTTATATTAGCATGTTTCTATCAATTATAATTCAACATTTGAAAAGTGCAATAGTGAAAAGATGATAATTGAAAGCTGTATGATTTAATAATATGTATTTATTGTAAAGACATATTATCAATGTTTAATTACGACAGTTCTCAGAAAACTGAAATATCGATAGAACGTGCCAAACAAAATTATAATTTGTAGATTAATTGCAGCATTTAAGGAGTATGATTCAGTGACAGATATATGGTACATATGTCAAAATTTGACCATATATAAATTGCACGCTTAATGAAGAATATTCAAAAATAAATTGTGCTTGAAGATTCGACCACTTCTATAATAACATGTTCACAATTGCGTAGTTTATGTGTAGCAATATATTGCATACATAATTTCCAAGAATTCCAAGAATCTAAATAAAGTAATTATTTAAAAAGTCTATTATCTTTTATTTTATTTAGAATTATTGATAAAAAAATTTGTAAACCTTTTTCTTAGTCCACTTTACACAATGTTACGAAAAACCAGAGTTACTAATATAGTGTTTTATAAAATTCTAGTTATAAATATAACAATAAATATAATATAAATTCTATAATTGAACGTATGCATGCGTGCCTGCGTGCGTGCGTGCGTGCGCACGTGTATGCGTGAACACATTCCAGATGTAATTATAGACTATTTTTTCTACAAAATATTTCTTTTTTTAATATTAATCAGCATTCTTTAAATAAACGTTACTAGATGTTAACACTATAAAGTAAAAAATAAATTGTATACATACTGGAATAGAAATATTTTAATACATGAATTTATGTATTTAATTGAAAATATATTTTCTCTCATACATGCCTTGTATTTAGTCCTACGCCTAAATTTATGTGTCAAAGCATTCCTGTATGTATATATCAAAAGAGAAGTATATACATATTAAAGAAAAAATGAAGATTGATTTTACATAAGTGGCCAGCCAAATCAAGCGATTCAAAAAATTCGTAGGCCTAAACATATAAGTCCGTATTTACATCCAATACTATTGATAAGAAATTAGAAAAGGACGTAGTAAATCGTTAATAGCTTATGAAAGAAATGTCCCCAAGTCGTTTGGGGCGCGGCAAAACTCCGAGACTCGAGAAGAGTAAGCTATCGATCGATAGCGACGCCTGTGCAGTGAGCAAGTCTGAGCTACGATCAACGACCATAGTGCCCAGGCGAAACAATTGCATCGTCCCGTCGTAGTCTACCTTCGACCGAATATAAGGACGGTGTTATCAGTGTTGTTCCTTTTCACGTGCTTCTGCCAGTGTATTTCTTTCGTTCCGAGCGAGGAATCTTCCTCGACTCTATTGGCCACGTAAACAGTTGTTGAACACGCCGTTCGTAGCAACGGCATTTTTGGCACGACGAAACGCGTCATCATGTGGCTGACAATGCGAGATATACTAGGTGCGAAAGTGATATTAAAATATTTGTGCGTATTTATAGAACTGCTCCAGCTTCATACATGACCTCGGAATCTTCTGCCAGCGGCGATAATTTTGCGACAATATTCATAATATTACGATAAGAAAGAATTTAAAAAAGCACCTTTCTGACGCAGTTAATATAAATTGACTGAATGCATGTATTGTCATGCATGTTAGTCCGGTTTAATTAAATGTAACACTTTAATTGCGATTATCACCAGTTAATTTCTAATTGTTATGTTTACAAAAATCATTACGGAAGCAAGCATAATTACTTGCATATTTTTATTAATGATAACAAATGACAACTAATTGTTATCATAAAATTTAATTATGAAGTGGAAGTTAATATAGCTATCATTAAAAAATCGAAAAAAATTGGAAAGAGACAAATATAAAAACTTCCAACACCCTTCACATAATTTAATAAAAATGTATTAAGAAAAAAGAAAAAAAAGAGATCCATTTGAATACTGGATCAGATTTAAATAATTCCATTTTTAATTTTGTGTCAAAATGTAAAAAGATTTTAGTAATTTGTATATTTTATTAAATATGTGATATTTTTTTCGCAAATTTAAAAAAACGCAAAGAATACCGAATATCTTTTATTATTCATATTTGCTTTAAATATAATTCTTGTTTTTCATATAATTTTTCTTTACATAATACTTTTTCAAGAATATTAATTTTCAGAACATCCTTAATTTAACATTAGAGAAAATATTTTGCGATATTTTATTCAATTTCAATTGCGTGTCACGCGTGACACACTAAATGATTGAAAAAGTAAAAAATGATTGAAATATAAGAAGGAGATGCGCAAACGCCAATCTCAGGAAAAGTTGAACCTTGATTTCAGAGAATACATAATTCTCGATTACATAGTCATATCCATATTGTCTGTATACCGATTACAATAATATTTCATTATTATACGAATTAGTCTATTTCACAACTTAAAAGAAAGGAAAAAAT